TGGGTCAAAATTGGAACAGTCGCGCTTTATAGTGTTAAACGACCACATTCACTAATTTCTATTATTCATATTCTGTTTTTATTGCACAATTAGTGTTAATTGTGCATAAATTTGGTCTTTTTTTATTTACGATCCATACTCAACAGTGGCCTCGATTTTGATAGAGTTTTCTATAGTTTTTCTTTCAACTTGCGTGATACCCCTATATTTTTCGATATAAATACGATCGATAGAGATCCTACACATCTGTTGACTTTTATTAATCTTTAGATTCTGATTTCCCAATTTTATTAGTAATTAATGCATCTAAATATACCAAGTTGTTGACATATTCAAATATCAGTATTTCTAAGTTTCTTCATACCACAGTAATGGCATAAAGTAATATATAAATTGCACGTCCTTTGGAGTGTATAAGTCGAACTATTCAAAATAAAACAAGATATAAGCGACAATGTTTTTAAATTGTATTTTATAAATAAAGGCTGGCCCAAAAGACTTATAAAACCTTAAAAATAAAACTGCACACTATCATAAAGATAAAATATATTGAAAAAAGATTTCAGCAATATTTTATAAATTAGTATTTATAAAAAAACACAAATATATTGCAAATTTTATTGGTGAATCTTTAATACAATATACGCCCCTCTTATTCTTCAGACTGTCTGTACTTTTATAGATATGCTCAGAACCAATGAGCATATGAACCATTGTTTCAAAGCGCCATATTCTTCTCTTAGAGCTTCAGAAAGCTCTTTAAGTGTTTCTAGCTAGGGATCACAAAGATTAAGATGTCATTGAACGAGGAGATCACTAGATACGAGTTAAACCGAGCTATTCTAGAGCTAAGTTCACAACTTTTGTTCGGTGAGTCAAGGCCGAACTTGCCCATAAAAAAGACGCCGACCTAAACTCTTAAAAAGGCGCCAGCCAACCTAAATTCTAATCAAATGCGCCATACCCTCTCCTCCTAAACTTTTTTAAAATTCTAATACCTGTTAAGTAAATCAATTTATTCACGAATTTTTTTTTTAAGTTTAATTTAAATCCATAAAATAATTTACTATTTTTATTGGGAATAAGCCACAATTTTAGTTGAAAATAAGTTTATTTTGACGTTTTGATTTTTACGTGGAAATTACCGGCAGAACGTCCTACGATACGCCTGTTGACACCGCATACGATGAACCTACGGCGTGGGACATAGAGACGACTACGAGCCTTTTAACCGCAACATTTTTAATATACGTTATTGGAGTTGGAACTATCGCGGCTCCTGGTACCAGACTTGCCTCCAACTGATCTTCGTTAAAGGGTTTAGAATATACTCATTCCAATCACGAGACCTCGTTATTTTGCGTAACTACCTCCTCGTACAGAGAGTAGGTAATTTGTGCGTAATAATACGAGTTGTATTTGGTAAGAAAATCATGCTCAATTGAACCAATAAATCGATCAAACGGCGAAATCGATAAGTGCATTATCTTTGGGTAGTTTCAAAAAAATGTTTCAATGTTACATTTTTTTATGGATATATGCTATCGAAGGCAAAAGGCGCACCGGCCAATAGGCCGGTGGGCCAGTCTGCCGTGTCGGTGAGATTATCATTGGCAAGAATAAAATTTGGGCCGAACTGATGAGCAAACTGGCCAACAATTGAATGAATAACGAATGCAGCATATCTTTGGCTATTCTTTGTTTGTCTTGTCAAGAATAAGTGGCTTTGTGTGCAACTACAAAGAAAACCCATACCAGATAGTAGAGTGGAGATACCCCTCCAGATACCTACAACTCTTTGAACCATATTTTGTTTGAGTTTTCTCCCTGCTAGTCAGAATCCAAGACCTGAATGATACAAAACAAATCTAAACTCCTCCGTGAACAAATAGTTACGTCATTGTGCTGTAATCTAGTGCTAATGTGAATAGTCCAAACTCTATGGCTCACCACGTTGGCTCTTGTTATCTGGAGATGTCGAACACATCATATTGCTCAAATCTATTTTCCTGTAATCTTCAGTGAATAGTGGTAAAACTGAAGTCAATATTAGTAATTGGCCGAAGCCTACAAGTAGTTCATGTATGATTTCTTCTAGCTGTCGTAATAATAAAATTGTACTGTCTTCCAGATATAGCTCTTTTTTCGATCACCTCCGTGGCGCATATTAGCTCTACCAATTTCCTAGAAACGATTCTAAGCCCCTTTAATCACACATTGACAAAAGTTGAAAATATGGGCCACTTCTTTTTGAGTGTGATTCTTTCTTCTTTTGGCATCATAACCCTGGATAGGTCTTTGCCTGTCTGGCTATATCCTTCCATATAGATCTCTCTTGGACCCTTCTCCTCCATTGTCTTATATTCATGGTTTTCAGGTCGTCTTCCAAGTCATCCAACCATCTCGTCATGGTCCTTCCTTTTTCTGCTTTCCTATCGGCTTCCACTGTAACATCTTCTTTGTCATTTTTATGTCTTCTTGTAGCTGAACATGTCCCAGACATGACAGTCTTTGACTTTTCACAAATCTTACAATGTCATACCCTTCATTCAGTTCATTAACCTCGTCGTTTCTCCTGATTCTATATGTGCCGTCTTCCTCTTTTCTCAGTATTGGTCTCTCGAATGTCCTGAGTTGGGCTTTTTTTTTCGTTATTACACAGGTTTCACAACCATAGGTTACCACGAGTCTAATAAAAGTTCTGTAGATAGTCATTTTGGTTCTTTTGTCTAATAATTTCGATGTCATCAATTTTTTATTAGCTAATTTCATTTCGCTATTTACGGAATTCTTCTGATTGATTTCTGTGCCCAAATATGTGAAGGCAGCCACACATTCAATAGTATACTTGTGTATTGCTATATTATTTTTCATTGTCAGGTGTTCTTTTGATGGTCATGTACTTAGTTTTTGTTTCGTTTATTTTAAGCCCTCTTAAAATAAACGAAATAAAAATAATAAAATAAATGTAAAACACAAGTGTTTTGTTTGTCTTCATTGGAGAACCATCTCTAAATGAAGCCAAATGTATGTTTAAAGTTTTTGTAAATCTTCGTTTCTGCGAATACTATTTTTTGCATGTTCCTGTAAATTTTTTTTTAAGTTAGTTCTAAATTTATGAGTAAACTTAAGTACATATACAATAACATCTTTAATACTACATATTGAGTTAGAACTGATGAAGCTTTAGAAGTATAAAGCAAAACATCTTCTATAAACTTATGAAGTAGTTAACTTCTGTTTTTTATTTTGCCAACCTGACTGACCGAATAAACCTCTGGATTTCACTAGTTGAATACTTTATATATATATATATATATATATATATATATATATATATATATGCCATTTAGTAAGACATAGAACCTAACTGTAAAATTGCTCCCCCAGCCTCTAAAATTACAAGAGGAGATAGGGCATGTAATGTGGATGGAACAAAATGACTCAGCTAGAAAAACCCTCCTTGATAGACCCATTGGTCAGAGAAGAAGAGGAAGACGAATATCCAGAACAAGGTTCCTTGATAACATCAATGAAGACATGAGAAATATGGGAGTACATGCTTGGCGGAAAAAGATAATGGATAGGGACAACTGAGAGAAATTCTTTAGGCTTGTATATTCTTTGCATTTCTTTTGTTGTTATTTGTTCTGTCATTTTATGTCAAATGTTTTGACCCTCTCTTTAGTTTATACCTTATATCACCCAAAAGTAACCATTCTCTATTTCTACAAAAATTTGTATAATAATTATTTGATGCTCCTCTTGATTTTTTTTAACAACTTTGCTTCTAAAATTGTCTGATACAATTTCTAGTTGTTTTTCCTGTTCTATTCTCAGTTCAATTTGCCTCTACACATAATTGTGATGGTTCACAATAAATCATGATCATAACAGCAGAGATCAAATCCAGAAATAAATTGCATTTACTGGCAGAAGTACCTTAGTCATCTGGTGAGACACAAGAAATATCTCCTCCAACAACTTGTCCCTCAAGGAAAGGTAAATGGGAGAAATGAATGACTCATAGATGCAAAATTATGCAAGTATTTTATAGAGTGTTTTAAACTAATTGCTATGAAAAATAGTTCTGATTTTAATAGCCTACAATAGAAGAAGAAATTTGTTACTAATTAGCTATGACCAATATGAATAGAATAAGGCAATAGAAGAAGTTTGTTGGTGAAAAGAAACCATGAAAAATCAAATCTACAGATTAACATTGGGACCTAATCAATGACATTACCATTCAATATGTACTTTTTGGCAGAAATTTTAAAACTCTTGTATACTCTCCCTGTATGTGCTCATGTAGATTGTAACACTACAAAGCATCAGATGTAGAATGATTCAAAGAAATTCTTGTGTCCAGAATAGATGTTTAAAACAAGACCTTGAGATAGTCCCAAACAATCAAAACATACATCCCAAATAAAACTAAGTTGTACCATCATATTTTCAATCAAAGTTAGCACATTAAACTTGTTATTATTAAATTTACTTTATATACAGATTAAATCAAAGTAGATTTAGTAATAAGTTATTTTAAATATCAGTAGTTACAGTTGCTAGGATATCAGAAACACATGCTATAAGAAAACTGGGAATTCATTGACAACTATCACTCTACCCTTCAAATATTATGTTTTTAAAGGACAGGTTACAAGAAAACAAGAAATATAAAACTACGCAAGAATTAGGTTTTCCTGGTTTCAATATACATAAAACTGGTACAGTGTTTGGCAATTCTTTCAAAGGTTGGAGATTATGAGTATAAAAATATACTTAACTACAAAAATTTACTATATAAAAATCATTGTCAAGTATTCTTATATTCGTAGGTAAATTATAGACACGATAATATATTAAGTCAATAGAGCTTTTAGTCGGATCCTACGAAATCTGCATATTTTTAATTATGACAACAAATAGGTGTATACCTACTTTCTCGTAACCAAAACTGGATTAAAAAATAATAACTGATCTAAAATTTGACGTACCTTTTCGTCTTTGTCGTTTTCTTTTGTGTTATCCGAAGTAGCAATTCTTTCTGATTTACTCTTGTCACTTTTATCAGGGGCTTTAGGAGTATTATCATTTTCAGGAGATGGGGCCATTTTTAAACCAAAATAAAATTGTTACTTGTACAACAACAGCCACTTATCACATATACCACATTTTGGGTTTATTTTGTTTGCACATCACTTAGATAACTTACATTACCTACACTGTACACTGTTTTTTAATATTGCAGTTTTTTTCTGTCCAATATCCACATTTTTGCAGTCCGCCATTACACTTACACTTTTCGTACATATCCAGTAGAGATGCGCTGCTATTTCTCTCACTGCTACTTTGTCACTGTTACCACAACTGTTACTTCACTGTGACAAGTGACAATCTATGAATGATAGTTTTAAAATATCTATGAAATAGTACTTCTAAATTTTGCATCGAAATTTTGTGAGGACTTAAAAGCTAGACAAATCCTGTGACGGAAAGTTACAACGTTAATAGTATGTTTTATTCTAATGATGAACAATTATTAATTGACTGCGTTTATGATTGTTTTAAATGATCGACCATAAGTTTGTAATATAATCAAAGAATATAGACGCATATGCGTCTATATTCTTTGGTATAGTTCTGAAGCTATTTTCTTGTGGCATTGTAAATTAATTACTATTTATAACTGGGAATAAGCCACAATTAAAGATAAAAATACGTTTATTGACGTTTCAATTTCCAATTCGAACGATTCCGAATTGGAAATTGAAACGTCAATAAACGTATTTTTATCTTTAATTGTGGCTTATTCCCAGTTATAAATAGTAATTAATTCTTTGGTATATTTGTCAAACAGCACCTTCTTAAAAGCTGTTCTCTAGACCAATAAATAAATAAAATTTGAACAAAAATACTTCCTAAAGTCTGAAATAATTGACAAACCTAACCGTACACAAAATCGTTAAGTAACCCCTCTCTAATTTAAAACCATTGACATAAAATAGAAACAAACTCGATGACATTTAACCAGAGATATGTAACTCTCTTACATATCTCTGCATTTAACGAAACTATTTATATGCATATTGTGCTCCACCGGTTTCTAGTCAAAGATATATATATATATATATATATATATATATATATAATATATATATATATATATATATATATATATATATATATACATATATATCGGAAAAAGGAGTACGACCGTCAATCCAATATATATATAAGGATCACTCAGACGAGTGGTGGGTTCTTATATCGGTCTCTAGGTGGAGAAATAAAAGACAAAGTTGATAGGCTACTTTATCTATTTTGAAGACGTTTCGCTTTCGAGTTTTGAAAGCATCATCAGTTCATCTAAAAAATTATTACAATATGAGAACCACACAATCATGGAACGATGTTAATTGTTACCTTAAAAAGATATGTAGCAGTCAATGTTATTAACAAATATGTGAATGAAACTAAGTAAATGGACATAGTACGCTGATCTTGTATAAACAGTTAAGCAACTAACAACATATACAAGTTCATATATGTACAAGTTCATATATGTTGTTAGTTGCTTAACTGTTTATACAAGATCAGCGTACTATGTCCATTTACTTAGTTTCATTCACATATTTGTTAATAACATTGACTGCTACATATCTTTTTAAGGTAACAATTAACATCGTTTCCATGATTGTGTGGTTCTCATATTGTAATAATTTTTTAGATGAACTGATGATGCTTTCAAAACTCGAAAGCGAAACGTCTTCAAAATAGATAAAGTAGCCTATCAACTTTGTCTTTTATTTCTCCACCTAGAGACCGATATAAGAACCCACCACTCGTCTGAGTGATCCTTATATATATATACATATATATATATATATATATATATATATATATATATATATATATATATATATATATATATATATATACATATATAGTATAAATAAGAGTTAACAAATAGAGATAATAATTTATATTTCTCGTTTGTTTAATTTTTATTTGGAACTTTAAAAATTATAAAAATATAAACTAATTAAAAGTTTGTATCGTTTCCTAAACTTAAAACCTAATAATTTGTACGTATTTATTTTATAAATTTTGATTTAGTTATTATTTATGATGTACAAATGCTGGATTGCATTTTTAAAGTTTCGATGGAACAAAAAATGTCCCATGGTCCCGATGGAACAAAAAATGTCCCATGGTCCCATGTATTAAAACACCATGAAACATAAAATCCAAAGTACACTTCATGTTGACATTTTCTCAGGTTATCTGTCAATAGAGGCGGTTTTTTATCGCGCCGGCGGTTATCCCATCCGATCCGTTATAAATCGTTGTTCAGAATTCATATCCTTCGGAGTTAATTTTCGAAATTTTACACAATATTGGCTGTGATTTTATAAAGTTGTGTTTGATTTTAATAGGTGTATATACGGTGAGTTATAGATTTTGTTTGAAGTAGCAATAATGTAAACTAAGTTTTATTTTCAGATTTATATTTTAGAATTGTATTACTTTGTTTATTGTAACCTATAAGTGGTTAAAATGTGGCCAGAAATAGAACAGGCAAAAATTGAAAACAGGCACGAACTTGTTCTTTCTGGAAAAGAAATAGCATCGAAAATTGCAAAAAATGGTTTGGATTTATCTGTTTTTACTTTAGACGGCTTAAACTTTTTAAATATTAGTGCAACAGAGCTCTCAGAAATTTCTGATGATATCGGCAAACTAACGAATTTGCAGACTTTGGTTTTGCATTCCAATAAGTTAGAACAGGCAAATGAAAACATAGCTAAGTTGACTAAACTTAAAATGTTGGATTTGTCGAGAAATCTAATAACATCAATTCCTGATGGTTTTGCAGATTTACCGCTAACCACGTTAAATTTGAACGTGAACAAACTTGATTCTTTTCCTGAATTTACAAAGAATACTAAATTAACGGTCTTGGATCTTTCTAATAATAAATTAAAGTTATTCCCGAGAGTTTGTTCAGAGGAATTAGTTAATTTATCAGAGCTGAAGTTACATGGAAATGAAATTGAAGAAATTCCAAACAATATACATGTGTTACCTCTTCTGAAATTGCTGGATATTAGTGAGAATAAAATAAAAACACTTCCTGGGGAGCTTGCCGAATGTCATAAATTAAAAGGTAAGCATGTTTACATTTATTTGAACAAATTTGGTGTGTATATTAAAAGTATAGTTCATGCAATAAAACAACACGGTTTGATGTAGAACACTAGACAATTTTAGAATTTCTTAGTGTCTTTGTCTTTGGTTGTTAATGTATATTTATAAGTAGGAGACTAAAAATTATAATCTTCAATTCTTAATTGAATTTGTGCCTGTGCCTCTCCTTTGTTTCTAATTCTCTAGTCAATTTATGTTCTTGGGATTCCCACAAATAAAATACTATCTATTACAATATTTTGTTGTTTGTTTGTTTTAGCTATCAGATATTTTTCTGGGAAATCCCTAAGCATATTTTTTATAAGTTCAGTTTAATTAATATATACCCCAATGAAAGAGTTTAGTTTCATGTTTAAAAACATTTTATTAAAACATCTCTTTTGTGCTTTTAGTAAAAAATACCTTATCTACTTACATGTTATTTAAGCATTGTTTGAAAACATATTCAAGCTCTGTGATATTAATTTTGTGGTGCTTTAAATAAAATATTCCATAACTGGGGAATACATTTCATACAGATAAATAAATGAAAATCTAGGTATACAATTTACAGTATTTGTACTCTATAATGGATAATCGAAATATTACAAAAAAATTAATTTATTAAAAAAAACTAACTCTTAACTAACAGTTACCAGCTGAAGCCTGTTGGAAGAGGTTTACTCTCCGGCCACTGGAACTCACCTACAACATGGGTGTATGTTACCTGAAGTCAAATTTAATTTAATATTAAACATAAAATATGATTAACAACATTATGTACAATCTTTTGTAACCATATGTATTTTAAAGGGGTTTTGCCCTGATATTTTGGTGGTTCAGGCATGTTAATTTGCATTTTAAAAACTGATGATGGAATTATTATTCCGAAAACGTTCGTGTAATTGATGTAGCCTTTTTAAGGGATTTTTTAAATATACCCATTTACAAAGATCTAATCTCTTTTTTGGAATTCAAGTATTCAAAAATTGCAATTGTAGCTCATTCCTGGGAATATGCCCTTCTCAGATTTTTAATTTTGTTCTTCACGTCTTGAGGACCAAAATAATCTATTTTCATTTCTTGGTCTATTTTATTAATAGCAGAATATCTCATTTATTTGTTTATCTCTATACTGACTATTAGATATATCTGAAAGACATGTTTGTTCTTCATCACAAACTTCAATGTTGTCTCCACATTCCACCTCAAATATTTTTAATAAAATTCAAATACTTAAAAATCTACTTCACATGACCAATTCTTAACAGCAAGTATATATTTACTTGAACAACTGTTTACATGAAGCAAGTGTGAGGTAAGCCATTCAAGTATGGTCCCACTACTACTGTATTGTTCTGGGAGGTGCCTTCTTGAAATATATTGGTTCTGGGAGGTGCCTTCTTGAATAAGTAAGTTGGATGGCTTTCAAGTTATTTGACTTGCTTGGCTGCTTGTTCAAAATTCTACACAATCTTGAATCTACACAATTCAAGTTACTGCTCTTGAGTTTCCAGTTACTTGCTCAACTAACTTGAACAGCTATTCAACTCATGTAAACCCTACTTCAAGTGGGATGTAAATCTGTATAAAACTTAAATTGTAAATAAAACTTAAATTTTCAAAAACTTCTTTAAAGAACTAAATTTCTCTAAAAAATCAGATAAATATTTTAGTGTGACAAGGTTTAAACCACCTAGTCTGCTGATTTCTTCCCTGTCAATTAGTATATTAAATTTCTGTATATACATATTGAATACTTATTAACATTATATACAGGATATCACAAAAAGATTGGTCATAAATTATACCATAATTTTTAGTGATGAAAATAAGTTGATTTAACCTAACCTAATATTGCATATAGTATATAGGTAAGTTAGGCTAAATCAATTTATTAGGCGTGGAAGCAATATAAATTGAGGATAATAATATTGTTCATTTGTATTAAGAATATCACAATAAATAAATAAATTAATTATTTATTTAAATGCATTGTTACAGCATTACAAACTTATGTTGATGCAATTTAAAAGTTATCAGTGTATAATAGAAATTGGTTTGATAATAGTATATTTTATAAATAATATGATAAGTGCTATAGTGTATATTTTTAATGCAAATAAACATTGCTGAAGTTTTTAAAGGTATTATAACTCTAAATAATTAATAATAATTTATTTATTAATTAATAATCATTGGCCATATTGTCAAAAATAAAGATACTTTAGTCTTAAGCTAAAATTACATTTTTTTGACAAACTTTTAAGATGTGTTAAAATTACTAAAAGAAAAACTATCTTAGTACAAAAAACAAAACTAAAATTAAAGTCGACAATGAACTAATATCAGGAGTATATAATAACTGTGGAGTTTGACAGGGAGGTAACATATTCCCGATATTCCTCGGTTTAGTAAATATAGTATCATAGAAGTTAAAAAGCAAGTTAATGATATATGACCCAAACAGAAAACTAATAAAAATCCTTTGTTATGCAAACGACGATATCCAGATGTAAAAAATTCCATCTAAGGCCAAATCTCTTTTATTAACAAGGGGGCTAAAATAATGCAAAATATTTTTCTTTAACTCAAATTTTTCAAAAATATTTAGATATTCGATTTAAAGATTAACTGTATCTACAAATTACTAAACAGTTTGGTTCATTTCTTAATATATTACATTTTTAGAACTTAGAAAAGTTTCTTCGTGTATTCATTTTAGTAAAGTACATTCTGTAATTTGCATAATTTATTTTTAGACTTAAATTTAAAATCTAATCCTATCTCAGACAGACGTCTATTGAAATTAATTGATCAATGTAGAACAAAACAAGTCTTAGATTATGTCAAACAGAACTGTCCAAAGACAACTAATGGTGATGTTGCGAGCAAAGCAAAATCTAAAAAGAAAAATAAGAGTAAAAATGATGATGAGGATGATGATAATAGTGTTACAGATTATAAGTACTCTATTAATGTTAAGAGTCATAACAATAATTTCAAGGTAAGTTCTTTAACAGTCAAATTAATTATAAAAATGAAAATCTAAATTTATATATATATATATATATATATATATATATATATATATATATATATATATATATATATATATATATAATATATATATATATATATATATATATATTTTATAGCGTTGTACAAATGTTTAAGATAAATTTTCTGTAAAATTTTGGTTAGTTTCTTTACTTTTATTTTCAAACCATTTGATCAACTTTATCCTTATTAAGAATTTCTCTCAGTCATTCATATCCATTGCCTTCCTCTGCCAAGCATGTATTTGCATATATTTCATTTTTTCATCGATGAGAGTGTTAACTGTTCTCCTAATATCAATTTAATCATAATATTTAGAATTTAGGTTCGTTATAATTAATAGCAGAGGATTGGCTTGAGTCACTCTTCTTAACATTACCAAAGAAGAGTAAACCCTGGACTACAGCGAATTTAAACTCATTAGTTGATGCAATAGACTCATTTTTGTTGGGAATAAGTCACAATTTAAGTTTAAAATAAGTTTATTTTTGACGTTTCGATTTCCACTTCAGAACAAGAGCAACAATCTACTTCTCTCTTGTACTGTACGCCTTTTTAAAGATAAATTATAACTTAAAAATACATTAAAACTTGTAGGTGATTATTAAAAATGGGGTTAAAACGGTAAGAGAGCATTTTACTGCCTGCATTATCAACAATGTGTCATTTACCGAGGAATCTTTCAAGAAATTTATTCAATTACAAAACAAGCTCCATGATACAGTCTGTGAGAAAAGGAATGTAGCAACTATAGCCACTCATGATTTCAGTAAATTGGTAAGTTTGTATCATATTTTTCTGTGTTGAAATTTGTAAAATAAGTTTCTTGTAAAAATCAACTAAAATGTTATTTCAGCTATCGAAAGTTTCTTTTAAAATCAAATTTAAGTATTAGTATATTTCGACGGTGGCCCTCTTGGAAACATGTTTCTTGGTTTTTAGCCTCCAGGCGATTTAATCTACTCAACCTCTCAACCTTCTGAACTGATGATAAAACCTTTGAACAGAGCCACTGTAATGAGCGGTGCTGAGCTGTTTACAAAACTTCAAACAGAAGCTAATAATTTAAGGAAGGAAAAGAAGAGAAGCACATATAGTGGAATTCACAAATTTTTGTACCTTATTGAAGGAAAGCCGCAATATCCATGTGTCATAAATGCAAATAAAGAAGTCATATCATTTCCACCTATTACAAATTCAGATATTTCCAAGGTATGCAATTTTTTTTACACCTTTCCACCTTTAAAGTAATATTATCCATTGATAAAAAGTACTTTTTTGAATTTAATTGATTAGTTCATTTGTGTGGGTTTATTGGAATTGGTTTTTCTTTAAATTTGTTTTAGTCGGTTGTGTTCTTATTGCAATCAAAAGCAACTAATATTGGGTGACTTAATACCTACTGATATTGCTAGGACCGTATACAACGGTCAACCATGTTCGAATGTACAGGGAAGTTGTTCGAATGTTTGGTAAATCACCATCCACCCACCAGAGTTAGTAGAGGATCCTAAAGTTAGCGGGGACATATGAGCGGAATCTCATTTAACCCACGCCATATTTTTTCACCCGTTTTTCACTAATTTATTATCACCCTCAAACCTATCTCTAATGGAAGCGATTACGCTAGCTTAATATTGAAGCTAGCAAAATTCCAAAAAATATTATTTATAATATACCACAGTGTTGTGCTAGGTTTTTACGAATTTATTATCACGCTAGTAATTTTTCACCTCTTCAACTACCCCTTGCGGGAATTCAATAATTCTGTAGGTTAAAATTTATGGTAAAAAAAATATTTTTTTACAATTTCACTGTACTCTACTTATACCTGAAATAAAAAAAGTGTTCTGGTAAGTTTTTACTAACCTTTGACCACTCTGACAGTTTTCCACCCCTGAATCAATCTTATTTGGAAACGTTTCCGCCAGATTAATATTCAAGCTAACGGAATTAAAAAAAAAATATAATATCGATCTGCAGGAACAGCATTAGGTCTCATTGGATCATGGGCTAACTGAATTATTGACTTGAATTTACACCCATCATGTAGAGACTTTTCATTACAAGTGAGTATAACAATTAATTTTCCAGCGTGTTCTCCAGATCTGAACGCAATAAAGCATGTCTGGGACATCATAGACAGAAGACTTGGGCACGAATTCTTGTTATTCAAAACAGAGAATGGGGTAAACTGCCTCAACAACTGATCGATAGCCTTATCATAAATATGAGAAGACGAATGACTGCAGTCGTAGTCATTCATTAAAGTAACAAAAATACCTTCTACCAAAAGTACCGTGGTAGAAATGTTTCAAAACCTCGTGAACCTCGTAAATACGCATGCCCGAAAAAATAAATGGACCCTAAAAACATGCACCATTTTAATTTCATAGGAAATGAGGCGACAGGGTAGTATTTGCAGGTGCTAATAATATCGAGTATTTCCAATGAACATGACATATTATGTTTGTCTAATCTTAAACATTCCAGTTAGTCATAGCATTTTTATTTTATCTCACATTGAAAGATGTAATAAAAATTTACGACTTCCCGTCTTCACTGCCGATAAGAATTGCTGTGTAAAAATGTAAAATATTTACATTGCACTAATTTGACTTATAAATAAACCTTTTAAGAACTGAAAAAAATCTAGAAGACAAATAAATAAATAACAAATCAATGTATGATAGAATAATAATAGGATTTTGGTTTTTAAATTCAGTAAAATATGTTTATACGAGACGAAAACCTCGAATTCCTTGGAAAAAATATTCCCATGAGATTTTTTTGCATCAAATACCACAGAATAATGTTCGAGAGGTCGCCCATACAAAAAGTGGTCCTAATTTATTAAACAATTTTGTATAAATCCATTTTTAGGTTGTGAACAACTAAAAACAATGTTTTAAAAATCAAAAAAGCCCAAACTAAAGTATCAGAAACTAATAGAAGAAGGTGTGGTGAATTCAAAAATAATTGTGTTTTTGAGCCTTAAAAATCGTCATTTTTCGTTTTTTTTTTTCAGTATTAAATTGTTTGTAAGTTGAAAATGCTCAACTTTAGAGAAAAATTACAATAAACCTTTTTTATTCAGAATGATCCAAAAAACCGAAAACAAATTGTCCGGGCAGATGAAATTGATTTATACAATTTGTTTAAAAATAATTGTTTAAATAAATTAGAACCACTTCTGCTGGTATTATGTTTTAAGACGAAATAAGTTAAATACAAAGTTATCAATTAATTGAATTGTGAACGATTGTTCATTTGCTATTTCACTAACACAAAAACTAGTTCGACTCTGTCTCGCTATGATAACGCACTGAAGAGAACTGCACTTTTTAGCAATGCCTGATAACATTGTTTCGTTCGTAGATCGACGTCACTAAATGATTACGCCAGGTCCACGAAATTATGAATTATATTTACCATTCCAACATTTTATAAACTTCATTCCGAGAGATTGTGTAAAATATTTACAGTGTGTATTTTATAGAAGAAAATAATTATCTTATACCTGCTCCTTTAAATTTGCCAGTGTGTAGGCACTGTAGGCAGTGAATAGACCAGTCTTCTTCTTCTTTAGTGCCTTATCCGGTCCGGATGTTGGCGATCATTAAGGCTATCATGGTTTTGTTGACTGTTCTGCGAAAGAGCTCCGCGGAGGTCATCCCAAACCATTGTCGGTTTTTTAGGTTTTTTAACCACGAGATACGACGGCGTCCCGGTCCTCTCCTGCCAAATACTTTACCCTGCATAACGAGTTAAAGAATTCGATATTTTTCTTTGTTCAGCATCACGTACCCGAGGCACTCAAGCTTACGTTGTTTCACTAAATTAACTTTTTCTTTTCTCATGCGCTGTAGAACCTCAACGTTGGTGACATGGTCCACATACACCAACGTTGGTGACATAGACCAGTCATCAAACTCATTTTAAAATAATGAGTCGCATCCATGCACATTAACTATTATTGCTGGATTGTTATATTATACATATATGTATATCCTGCAGTTACACATCTTTATTTTTTCAGATTGAAGTGACAACAACCAGAATGTTTATCGAGGTTACCAGTTCTCTCTCACTGCACTCTTGTAAAAACGTACTGAATACGCTGCTCAAAGACATGGTGCTGTTATTTGAGAAGGACTTGGAGGTGGAGCAAGTAAAGACTGTAGACGAACAGGAGCAACTAAAAGTAGTTTATCCCTCAAAAACTGATCTTGTTTTCGAAAAATCAGTCCCTATTAAAATTAATAGGGACTAATATAATTTGTTGCATCTTTTATTTGACTGTGTACGTTCCATGATGTTGTAAATGATAAACTGATAACTATTAATCAATATGTGTAAATCTTTATGAAGAAAACAAAAATAAGGATTGTCTATTCTGTCCAGTATTGTTTGACAGGAGCCAATAATATTAAAAATGTTGATTAGAATAAGGTTATGTGAGGTTGTATTATATACATAGACATATAACACCTAGACTTATTATTAAATCAGACCTATACCATTATTAAATCATAAGTTTGTTCCAATCCGTCACATTACCGTTCTTGAATGGTTACGAGTATGAACAGTAACACATTTTTCGTTACTGAGCATACTCATAACCATTCAAGAACTGTATTTGTGACGGGTTGGAACAAAACTATTATAGACATTATTTTAAACGGGATTTTTTGTTGTATATTTTATAACATCAAACAAAACATAAAAACAAATATCTGTTTACGTAGATTTAGTATATCCCTAAATTGGTCTAATGTTTTAATGCAAAAAGTTTCGCGTATAAAATAATTTTGAGTACAGCCCTGCTTTTAGTATACAGTTGTAAGATGGAAAGTCTCTTACCTTTGTCTTTGCAATTTTACACATTTAGTATCTTCTTGTCGCTTTGTCCTTTTTCTACTTTTGTTTGGCGTTGTTTGCTGTATCGAATTATCGATATTTCAGTAATATTAACTTATTTTACAACAGAAAATTAGAAAAAATTCTCCGCGTGTTCGTTAATCGACAACAAGTACCAGATAACTGATTCAGAATAGTATAGTCACGTGAGCAAGTCCCGAGTTACTATTTTTCGAAATGGACTTGCCGAATATTGAAACTGAAATGATTTGACTCAATTTTAACATTACACTGATTTTTATAGGCAATTTATAAGCGTTAATATGGATTTGGCCCGGTATTGAACATTACTATTCTGAAGACTCGTTTTCAAGGTTTTTACCCACCGTTAAAGTACATTTTCTTAATTTTTGGATTTGTCCAATTTTGACTGCAGGGTTCAGATATATAATATAATGTATAATAATAACAAATAGTATCAATAAAAAAAACTGACTTGAGTCAGTTTCTTTTATTGATACTAGTCAGACTTCTCAGTCTTCTCTTGTCAATACTGGAAAAATGATATCGTAAACTGACCCCCAATTATGATACTTATACTAAAAATTAGGAAGCTACTAAGAGGATAATATCAGGGCAGACTTTAGGTAGACGTGGCGAATCAAAGATCATAGTGTCTTGTAGATCGGTTGCGACATTTTGAAGTGAATATGGTAGGTTTACATCTTAATGTTCCAATTTATCTATCAGCAAACTAAGTTTTTATGCTTTTTAACTATGATATTAAATACAGAAGTAGAATTAAAAAAAAAAATTGATATAAAAGTTTACATTAGCGGAGATTTCTAAAGTGCGCATTTTTTAACTGAAAAATGAAGAGTTTTATTATGGAATATCTGAAAAGTTAAAAAATGTTAACAAGAATTGAAAAAAAAGTTAATAAAACTTAGGAAATCGGAAATTGACAAGAGGAACGTGTTATCAAAACACGAAATAGCCTTGGTTATAAAAATTTTTGTAACTAAGGCTATTTTTGCGGACTAAGGGAGTTTGCGCACTGAATAAAAAATTCTGCGCATGAACAATGTTGCCACGTATACGTTTTTTTGTGGAGTAAATATGTTGAATTTAAATTTTAAATAAGAATACATTGGTTCAAAAACCCGTGCAGTACGCATGCGCAAGTCGTTAAAAGCAGCTATCATGGAGAGTGCAGTTTAAAATGGATGTGAAAATATCAGTTTGTAAAATGTTTTTTAAATGAGAAATATATAAAAACTAGAGTGTCTGTGGAAAAATATGCATTGTAAAGTGACTAGTAAGTAAACCCCAATCCACCGTTCAAATTTCAGACTAATTCGACGATCCTTACTAATGAAACACAATTTCAAAACAGTTTAATTCAGTTAACAGTTTGTCATTTGCAACTATGGCTTTATTATTTATTCATTGCAACAATTTACAATTTGCCAATATTTATTTTAGTTAAGTTTTGTTGAAATGATCAATTATTTTCAAGATCCATATTTGTTGATGTATGGACAGTTTTTTGAAAAATCATCAAATAGCGTTTAGAAAAAATACATTGAGATCTATTTTTGTACAACTTTGTTAAATAATTTTAATCAGTGAGGAAATAAAGAAGTTTCTACTTTTGTTGGAGAAGTCTATGTAAGAATGTTGTAGAGTTTTAATTAGTAATCGTCTTAAACAAGCTAAAAAGCTATAAGAAAATTATTTTATAGTTTCGGTAAGATATAGTAGAACGCTCAAATTTTGATAGTTCTGTTGTAAGATATAGTACGGCGGCTGGTTGATTTAGTAATTAAAAATATTTATTTTTTACTTAAGTATAACAGTTAAAGCAGAACATATAGTATGTGATAAAATTAATTTTTACCATTTTTTATTTAAATCTCTTACTGCATGGTTGTATTGATAACTCATGTAGAATAGATTTTGTAATTGAGGAGGGAAAAATAATCGGAGTCCACAAAAACAGTTTTCAAACTCAACTCAAAAACTCAACCGTATAAATTGGTAAATTTTTTCATTGGTACGTTGACATGTTTGCAGAGGAAAAATCAAGAGAAGACAAAAAAATATTTTATTTGCGAGATATCATACAAAAAATTGAGTGGCCGGCATGGAACATGAATGTTCTTCCCCAGTAATTTCAAGCTTCTGCGTCACAAAATGTTTCTTCCTCCGAAGTTTCCCACATGTTCAGAACCTTGTAAATCAGTGCAGAACTTTCTAGAGTTTAGGTTTTCCAAATACTTGGTCAAGTGGAGATTTTGTAACTTAGCAGCTTTGACCGAAAGTGGGCCGTTGTACAAAGTTTCGAGATAATTGTGGCTAGTAACTTCTGGAGTTATGATATTATGAGCTTTCCTTAATTTCTTTTTGAGTTTCCTAAACTTTGCATTCAAACAGCGAGCTTGCAAATAATCCAGAATATGTATTCGTGTGAAAGATAAATTGAGGGCTATTTTTTCTGATTTCCAACACTCGATAAGGTCTCGTAGGCATTGGGCATTTCTTGGTATACTTGTTGAAGAAATGCTTAGTTCAATTCAGAAATTTGATATCTTTTCCACAGTCCACCACTTGGAATGGTTTCGGTTTTTCTCTGCTGTTGCGGAGGACTTCTCTCCAATCATCCGGTGTTTCCGTATAAGCTTTATCATTAATTAAACTCATGTTTCGCTCGCACTCTAGATAGGAATATCCTCTAATGGGAAAATTACTTTCACAAACTCAAACCGTCCTTGTGTCTGAACTAGATAATGAAGGAACCGAAAAACTAATTTTTAGTTTGCCCTCCACAAGAGTCGCAAAATATTATCAAATTTTGAACCTGAGATGACAGTTCGTTATACGCAAAGTGATGCATCATCGAACACACATCATCAGCCCCTTTTTTTGCTAATGATTCGTCATAAGTATAGAAAAAAGAGGTAGAATCGGCCAATACATGTACATTAAAGCTTATAAAATTAAGTTGCCGTTTATAGTAGACATCGTTTGAGGTCACAATAGGGGTTGGTAATTTTTTATTGCTTCGGTAACAGAATAAAATTTTTCACTTCTCGCAAGATGTTTCTCGTTGTTTTTTTCTTGTAATTTCTCTACATAGTCCCATAGTAGAACGTAGAATGTAAAAAATGGGGCGGCCAATAGAGCCTGATACACTGCGACCTTTGCAGATCTATTGTGTTCCCCCCTTATTTTAAAGCACTTCATCTAGCTTGGTCCTCTTAATGAGACTCAACAGCCTTGATAGTGGCCTTTTCATGTAGCCTGGTGCTTCCGGTTTTTCCTCTCCGAGTTCTAGAAACCGCATTCGTGCGAGACCTTCGCAATGGCACAGAACGTGTAGAGCGGTTTCCTCTTCTTCCAGACAGAAACGACAGGTGTCCTCTTCTGTCAGGCCTATGAGACTCAAGTGTTTATTGAGTCTACAGTGCTCAGTGAGCAGACCCACTATCATTCTGACAGTCCTGCGTCTGTGCGAAAGTAAGTCTGCTGTAAATTTAGCCGAATGTTCTTTGATGAACTGTTTGGCCTGCCTCTGTCCTGGTGAGTTGTTCCACCACTCAAGAGACTTCTGTCGCACCCATTTGTGTATGGCTGCCCTTTTTATCGTATTTGCGATTCCAAAGAAGGGTTCCGGACCAACCAGTGGCGTAGATGCGCCTTCTCGGGCCAATTCATCGGCCTTCTCGTTGCCACGATGGCCCTTATGTCCCGGCACCCAGGCAAGTGTCAACCTGTTTCGACTTCCTACCTGAGAGAGGACATCCAAACAGTTCCATACCAGCCATGAATCGACCTGTACCGAACTGAGAGCCTTTAGAGCCGCTTGACTATCCGAATAGATAACGATGGAGTCGTTATCTACATTTCGGCCGATTAGTTCCATAGCGCACCTGTGTATAGCAGCTAATTCGGCTTGAAATACGGTCGCGTATGTTTCTAGACATACCCGGACTTCCGTCCTTGGTTTTATGCCATATATTCCAGCCCCCGTACCTGTATCCGTTTTGAGCCGTCCGTATACCATATTGAGTTTGCTGTTAGCGGCGGACCAGTTTCCCAGTCCTCTCTTTTGGTATTGTAATTTCAAAATTTTTGTTAAAACTATACCTCGTAACCATTCGGTCTACAGGCATTCCTAGAACGGGTCTGCCTTTATGTCCTGGTATAGCCTTAAGTTATCAGCTCCCTGCATCATACTTATTGGAGCTTGGCCTTGGATCAACCGATGTACTGTTGATCTGGCTTCACTCTGTATGTATATATGTAGAGGTGGTAGGTTTAGCAGAACTTCTAGCGCGTCCGTTGGGGCTGTTCTCATGGCTCCTGTAACACTCAAGCATGCAAGCCTTTGTGTGCTACTAAGCAATCGAA